TATGCACTACCATTCGAAAGTTTGGGGTCGATGGGATTTTTTAAAATATTTAAAATGTTTAAAAAGTCTCTTATCCATGATCTTATCCACTTATTGTTATCTTAACCATGGCTGATTTTTTTTATATATTTAAAAAATACAGTAAAAACAGTAATATTCTGAAACATTTTTCCAATTTAAGATAACTGTTTTATGTTTTAATATATTTTAAGATATTGTAATTTATTAAAGAAAATTAAAGAAGTAATTTATTCCTGATGGTAAAGCTAAATTTTAAGCATCATTACTCCAGTCTTCAGTGTCTCATGGTCTTCAGAAATCATTCTAATATGCTGATTTGGTGCTCAAGAAACATGTCTTATTATTAATGTTGAAAACAGCTGTGCTGATTAATATGTTTGTGGAAACCACGATAAAAAAAAATTTCAGGATTAGCCTATTTGATGAATAGAAAGATTTTAATCTTTTAATTTTAATCTTATAATCTTATAAATGTTTTAATGTCACTTTTGATCAATTTAATGTTTCCTTGCTGTATATTAGTGTTCATATCTTTCAAATTAACTTTTGAACACTAGTGTCAATATGTCATATTTAAAATAAAATACTATAATATTAAAAATATCAGAAAAAATCATTAAAATTAGAATAATAAGATTACTTTATATGTACTAAAATGACTTTATTTCCTCTCAAATTGGTCAGGTTTTTGTGACATTTGAATGCCGGCATCTGATTGGATGGTCCTGTTGTTGCAGGTATGCCCCTTCACCACAGCTGCGTCAGGAAGAGGCACGTGATTGGCTGCGTTTACATTCGGCTGGTGGTTTGCAGGACTCAGCCAGTAACTCTCCCTTCTCCACCGGCTCCAGCTTGACGTCACCATCCGGAACGCGATTTAACTTTGCTCAACTTGGTATGCAAATGCATATACTGTGAATATATAATACTTGATATAATACATTTTCTGTCCATAGTCTGTGAAGATGATTTGACTCAATATTTCTGAAATGCGCAATATGTTACTTTTCACTTGCATGCCAATATATCAGAAATAATAGAAAAACAGACTTTACCTAAGTGTGCATTTTGCTTTAAACAATAATTAGGTTTTGTACTATTATTATTTGTCTTGTCCTACATGATTAAGTGCCATTGTGTGTTATTTACAGGAAGCCCCACCACAGGTGCTCAGATTAATCTGGCCAGCCTGCGCAACAACAGCCTGACCAATCAGGACAACCCGCTGGACAGCCATGGTGATTCCCGTCTGCGCAACTCCTGCATGTCGCTGGACGAGAAGACGCGCACCATGAGCCGGTCGGGATCCTTCAGGGACGGGTTCGAGGAAGGTGAGAAAAATAAATGCAAGAGACAGTGGATTGATTTATGCTCTTCTCTACTTTGTAAATGTTACATTTCATTCATGCAGTCATAATCCTCAAACCTGCCACATTAGCTCTTCTGAAACAAAGTGAGATACCTGTTCTGATTGCTATCTGTGTAGTCAGCTACCTTTAAAGTCAGTATCCTAACTGAAAAATTAACCCCATAAGTGACTGTTTTCAAAATTGCAATGGCATGAATGCCACACAAATATATATAGTTTCCCAATAGTTGATGTTAGCATGTTGCTAAGCTAATAGTTAACAAACATAAATAATACATAACACAGAAATATTGGGTGAAATGGTCACTTTATAATAAGGCTGAAGTATTTATGGCAATGCTTTCCAGTATTAAACCATCTTGAATAATTTTTTCCATTGCAGTGCATTCTGGGATTACTTTATCCACAAATGATTACTGCAGTGCTTTATAATTTGGCCAAAACAAGGTATCTTAGAAGGCAGCATGATGTTTTTGTCTGTTTTGGAAGAGTCGCACCTGTTTAATGCTTAAAAATGTTGTCTAGGTGTTCAGCTCACTCATTGTTGTTCTTAAAGACAATAGAAGATAGGCTTTTATAAGAAGAAGGTAAAGATCTGCAACAGCTTGTCAGCTTGAACTCTGTGCTGAAATACAACTCACAGACAACTGAATCTGTCTATCCTCAGTCTGTTCACCCATTTGACTAAATCAACAGTCTCTGTTCTCCTCTCCTCGACTTTTTGAATAATCATTGTGTGCATAGAGCTTTGTTACATTTTAAGTCATTCCAATTTTCCACTCAGCCCAGACCACCTGTTCACGCGTTTACCTGTTACGAGTCTCTCCTTTAAGAACAGGAAGATGTTTGCCAAAGACAGTTAAGCCATAAACTGGCCCCTGTAGAAAAGTGTAAAAATGACACTCGCGGCACAGTAACCCAGTATTACCCAACTGTGCCTTTTGTGACATCTGAAACCAAATACAGGTTAAAAGCCATGTACGTTCTCTTCAGAATCAAAATATGATACAGTATGTGTGGCACGGACAGGGGACTGAACTCTGTGACTCTGCAACACGAGTGTTGTAAAAGTCCCAGAGGGATTGTGGGAACAGGTTTAAGAGGACTTGATCCACACACAGGAAGTAAAGAAGATACATTTCATATCCTCAGCCTCTGGCAGTTATGATCTATGTATGTATCTATCTATCTGTATGTCTGTCTATCTGTCTGTCTACCTTTGAAATATCTTGTAAATACCATAGTAAATAACTACCATCAGAAATCAGAAAGTGCTATATTGACCAGGTATACATAGAATTGAATTATGCTTACATTTGAATTAAATGGTAATAGTTTAGTAACAGTGTATTTCAAAGTATGGTGTACCACAGTACCATGTTTGTTAAGGTGTAAGAGACATAATGAATTTCTCTGTCCCTGAACCATCCACCCTATCTCTCTGTCTCGCACACACATTAATCTCTGTTTTGGTTTTCTGGGTGGTCCTCAGCCGAGTTTATAAGCGTCGCTGCTCTTTCATTCTCACATCTATAACCCCGCCCACATCACGCCCAGCCAGCCGTTTGGCTTTTCCTCAGGGCTGATATGGCATCATGAGGAAGTGCCAGGCGACCCGTGGGTGGACTGTGGTTGGGCTGGTGTCTGCGATTTGTTTGGGAAATGATTTGAAGTCACACCCCTGAACTCTCAGTCACGATTAACGTTACTGTCTGTGACTGATGTTATTATTACCTCTGATGAGTCACATCTTGTCGGGGCAGGTGAAAGTTTAATTAGAGGTTTTAGTTGTTAGACACAGTGTGTGTGGGTCGATGCTTTTGTCTGTGTGTGTTTGTCTGTGTAGGTTAGCTGGGGGTTAACATTGCGTTTAGGTGTTTTGAAAAGTGAGCATTCAGTCTGTTCGGTGTACTTTAAAATCTACTACTTCAATTAAGTAGTAACTTTAGTGTTAAAATACACTGATTTTCTCTGCTGCGTGATATATGATGTATTTACTTTTAACCTGGGGTTTTTGTTTAGTTGCCTAGCAACCATCTGTTACACCCCAATGCAGTAAAATAAGAATAGTCCCATACTAGAATAAGCCTTCATTTCTAGAATTTTATGTTTCTCTCTTTAGTTCATGGATCATCTCTCTCGCTGGTGTCCAGCGCCTCGTCTGTCTATTCAACGGTGAGTTTTCAGTCCAGTCCCTTTTAAACTGTTTTTTAAAAAAAAAATTTTTTTTAATTGTTATTTTTATTTTCTTTGATTCGTACAGCCACTTTCATAATAAATATCAACATTTATGAACATTGCAAATGATACAATCTGAACACCAAACTGTCGCAAATAGTTGTACAATATATAGAGAGACAGACAGACAGACAGACAGACAGATAGATTTTAAGCTTTATTATAATATATTTCATTATAGGTTAAGTGTACAAGTGTAAATCTCAGCCAGTGATTATATAGGATAAATTGGACTGTGCCACACCTCCAGATGGGCGGCTCTACTTACCTGCAGAGGTGTTTTAACAACAGTCTTACTCTGGCACACGTGTAGTGAGTCTTCAGTTCAAATGAGGTTGATTTCAGGAACTTAGGTGGTAGAGATCAGATTTACTGAAGTATAAAGAGTGGAAAATCATGATGATGGCGACTCTCTCTATGGGGAGAGCTGTGACTTCTTGGGGATACACGGTAGGAACCTTAGTTTTTAGATTGCTCCTCTTCTATATTTATATATTTACGTGACATATTATTACAAATCATTCATTCTTAGTTAAGTACCAGTAAATAGGAAACTAATGATCTGTACTGACTTGAAAAGTGTATCTTGTTGGACTTAGCTAAATAGAGAATTGACTGCACAGTCTGTATTAATGCAGATCCAAAATCAGATTCAGGTGATTTGTCTGAAGCTGGAGGCTGTAAGGTGTGTTTGTTTGTGTATGTGGGTAACAGCTGTCATGCAGAAACGTAGTGTCTCTTAGACACAAACATGAAATCTCTGTGGTGCTTTTGAAAATACAGATTCATTCTGTACTACAGAGTACTGAATGTTCATCAAAAGACAGATATAATGGCACGGTAATCTTCAGTCTCAAAGACAACAAAAGCTCAGAGATTTCAAACAAAGCTCTTCTGATCAGAGTTGCGTTGACAAAGTCACCATGTTGAGTCTGTATGATCAGACACATGTACAAAAAGCAAGACTTGATTAAACCGAAACCAGCTAGACGCATCTGGGTTTGTCCCACATGTCATGTGATGCTGTGACGGACAGACAATGCTGCTATTTTAATGACACTGTCAGTCTCTTGGACAGGTGTCAACGGCAAAGAAAATCATTATAGTGGGTGTCATTACATGCATGTTTGCCAGACGACATACAAAGAGCTCTAGTATGCTATTGTTGTCTAGAGCATTCAGTTGTCAGCAAGCATGCTTATTCACCCGAAGATTTCAAAAGGTGGATTCAAAATATGATTTAAAATCTAAAAAAAATGCAGAACAAAGAAACGTTATGATATCATATGAATCAGAAATATTTAATACTGGACATTATTTCTAGATCACTATTCAAATAAGCTCATTTGTGACTTTTTTGTACAAAAGGTCAGATGTTCTTCGTTCCACTGAATCTGTAATTACACAAACTGTATTGTTTTAATTCAGTTTTTCACTCAGATTATTATGCTGATAATACATTATAAAATCAAAAGAAATATTTGTATTAAATTGGTAAAAAGAAGCATCTTTACTAGTGCTCTCACACTTGTGTATTTAAACTAGGCTTTTTTACGTATATGTTTATGTCGGTATCATTAAAGTGCTTCTGGGTGATTCCCATTGTCTAGTTACCAACTTCCCCGCAAATCGATGTGTTCAGTGATATTTGAATGTGTCCAACTTCCTGTTTATCTGCTAGTGTACAGTAGAGATGAGCTCATAAATCATAGGAAAAGGAAAAGTCCCTCTCTAGAGCTTTAGGGTTAGCGTTCTGTTCACTTTCAGGTGTGTGTCGCTGTCTCTGGTGTTCATTTTATACCCTCAGGAGAGAAAGCAGCTCATTTTTCAACTGTTAAACGAGTAAAGCTGTGCAAATACGCTGTTTAAATGTGCCAGTAACTACTCTGTCTTTTTATTTTAATAGACGGAGGAGAAATCACAGTCAGAGGTGAGGACATGTTTTTCCTTTCGTAAAAACAACACACACATGGGCCCCCCACATACCTGTGAACCGCATTGCTGTCACCTGTAGCATATTTATTCACCACCATTGACCTGTTGTGAACACATACTGTGGGCGGATTCATGGTCGGCTCTCATTTCGCCGCACATCTCTGTGATCTTCACATCCACCTGTGCAACACACCTCTATTCTGTACATACACCTGCAAACTGTTTCCCCCCTTTGATACCAAATCACAAAGTTCTCTTGCCCTTGTGTGCCTCCTTTTCCTCTTCTTTTCATCTGCGTTTTTTTCTTCCTCTTTTCTCTCCAGATCCGCAAGCTGCGTCGAGAACTGGACACCTCCCAGGAAAAGGTGTCCGCCCTGACAACGCAACTCAGTGCTAATGTAGGTGGACACAGATGCATAGTTCTGAGATGGCTCTTTATTATTTTATTATATCTACAGGGCATAAATAATTCCCAATTCTGTATCTAGTGTCAATTGTCATCCTGAGGCATCTTATAAATGGTGTTATCATAATCCCAGTGACGCCTGTGTGGGTTGTGTATTTGATTAATGTCAGCGTTGATCATGACCTCATTGGAGTTTCCATTTGTCATTATCTGTCCATTCAATAGCGCTACATCTTAGGCAACAATTGTTATTGTAAAACTTTTTCCTACACTTACCATGTACTTACCCATGTAGTTAAACCTGTTAGGTAAAAAAAAAAAACTTGTTTTTAGCTATTAGAGATTGCTCTAATATAAGTAATAAGTACATAAGTAATAAATGTAATAAGATTACATTTACGAGAAATAGTCATTATGTGAGATGTACAGTTATATTTGTAAAATGAAGTAGCAATTGCAAGAAGTAGTCACAATTTTGAGGTATAAAGTTGAAATTGAGAAAAAAAAGTGACAATTGTGAAATATAATGCTATATTGTGAGATACGAAATGACATTTGTGAGAAATGGTCAGAAGTTTGATATGCTGTAAAAGTTGTCATTTTAAGAAAAAAGTCAGTTATCAGAAAAAGTCCAACTGTGAGATATTAAATTAAAACTGTGAGAAGTAGTCGCAATTTTGAGGTATAAAGGTCACAATTATGCCAAGAAGTTCATTATATTTTATTGTTTGTCATTTTGTGAGATAAAACTACTTTTGTTAGAAATAGTCAGTTTTGAGGTAAAGTTTAAAAGTCACAATTATCAGAAGCAGACACTATTGTGATAGATAAAGTCATATTAGTAGATTTAACATTTCTGAGGTACAACATTTGAGCAGGGTTGGGGAGTAACGGAATACATGTAACGGTGTTACGTAATCAGGATACAAAAATCTAGTAACTGTAATCCGTTACAGTTACATCAAAAAACAAAGTATTCAGATTACAGTTACATTTTGTAAAAAGTGGGAATACTATCAGGATTACATTTGTTTAATTTAAAATTAAATAAATGAGTATTTTGACATAACGCTATATATTTGGCGCTGCTTCATCATAGTTCCTTGTTCTGTTGACAAGTGTTGCCTCATGTGAGCCACCTGCTGGTGCGTGCGCAAATAACACCCGTCTACAATTATTCTCCTCAAACGAGAGATGAGACGCTGCTACAGTAAATTACGATGCTTCCTGCTGGGAAAAACGTTTTCATGTCTGGAAATTTCAATTTTGTTTTCAAAGAGAATAAAGGAAATAACATAGTTGTACCGCGTAAGCTATGCATGAAGACTCTTGCTTTAACAAAGGCTACTTAACCAACTTGAACATTTGCAGGTACGAGTCCGA